TTGTGAGATTTTGAGTCCATGGCCAGCGGGGTAGGGGTAGGGGGGGGGGGAGTAGACATGGGCCCGCCACCTTGACCCACGCCCATACTCGGTGTCGCTCTGCAAGTTGAAGGCTGCCCGGGTTTTCTAACCGCAGCTGGGCTAAGCTTTCTCTGTCCTGATGGTGAGGGCCTTGCTACTGCCCCGCCATATGTTGTCTAGTAACACATACACACATAAACATACACATACACAACTGGTAATTATCCACGTCATCTGTTTTCCGCCTAACAAAGTCTAATTGCGATCCCGGAAGTTTTTTTTCCTGGTTAAATCTAATGACGTTTATGAACAAGTATACAGAGAGATCTGGTGAAATGTGCACAGTAGATTGTATACACATGATGGTGTATATCATCCAGTATAGATGATTAAAAATACTTTACTCTTTGTATTAGGAATTAGTTTACTACTACTATAGCCTGAGGAGAACACCGCATCCGAGGGTAACAGTGGCTGACGGTGAGTCCTTCGGCAGGCAGGTGTTCCTCAGGTATAGCACCACCACACCTGTCCTCGTTGTCGCTGCTCACTCCCTCCACCTTCCCCTTAAGTAATGCACGCCCTCCCTCGCCCACGCCCTTCTCCTTTGTGGGCGTGGGTGTGGGAGGTGAGTGCCGTACATGGTGGTGGTGAGGGAGGCTAGCCTTTGTTTCTGTCAACCTCTTGTTTACCTCAACCATCACCACACACACACACACACACACACACACACACACACACACACACACACACACACACACACACAATACTTATAAATATATAAACTTGTGTACAATGGAGTAGTCACTAGAGGGCGTTTGAGAAAATACTGAGAGATCTGAGATTATTTAGAACCAGTCTGACCATCGAACACCTCTCTTAGACACATGCTTATTCGATCCACTAGAGAACTGTGACGCCATCTAAAAACGTTCGTAAAATAACAACAAAAAGTAACATTTACCCCTTGACAAATCGCAATCACATACTACTGATTAACTACCATCGATAGACCCGGATCAAGTTGGCGATTTATTTTAGTATTTTAGCCTGTGTACAAAATAAATGGCCTTCACACGTACACAAGGCCCCATGTGAACAGATTACGCATGCGGAATAAGCGACAGCGTATATGACGTGGAATATTAAACCCAAGAGTACTAAGTTTGATTAAGTTAGGTCCAGTCGCTGAGTGTTTACTGATATATATGATTATTATATACAGTACACAGGCTTTTAATACCCAGCTCTAGTAAAAAAAAAAATTAAAAAATAAAAATGCGATGAATGGACCTGGGAGCATAGCAACGGGTTAATTTTATTGAATTTTTTGGCAACACCTGCATGGCATTTAGCTATACAAAGACGATATAAATGTAATAGTATTCTTGTTATCAGTTTTATTATATATTATTTGTTATCATTATTAACACGTGCAGTTATCATCGAAGTGCAGAATGTTACTAGACCACAACAACGTGGTGACAGGTGGCCGTCGACGCTGCCGGTACCTCTTGCTAATATCATTCCACTCAACGCACACCACCGCCCACTGTCAGCGTAATACTTGGTGGTAATGAGGGGGGCACACACACACACACACACACACACACACACACACACACACACACACACACACATCGATAATGGTTTGCCGTCCCAGTCAGGTAAGATACTGTGCTTTAAAAAAATCCTCATAGATATCAACAGGCGGTCATCTTTTTGCTTCATCTTCCCAACAAACACCGCATCAAGTTTCACCAATGATATAAAATTCTGGTCGATTTTCACCAAATTTTGGGCTTATTAGAGACTTTATTGCAAGTTGCAGAGAATTATTGCAAGGTTTATTTTACAAGGTCCTTCATTCACTGTTCAGGCTCTGCATTATACATTTACTATTCACGCAAAAGACATTAAATTTGCTGATGACATACGTATTTATTGATGTATAACATGACAACCTGAGACTATAGCAGTGAAGATAATTTTACCCCATGTTAAATATTACAAAATTATACAGGTTTTCAGCATTGTGTATTTACCAGATTTAAATGAAACTTAATTATTTACAGACTAGAATTTAAATGATAAATACTGGGAATTAGATATCAATATTCTTCTTTTGTTAGTCTTTTGTATTAAGCATTGTTGACACGGGGCTTCCTTGGCTATATTTGGCTTTACTTAACAGTCTGCGGCGTTCGTAAATACACATTGAATGTTATAAAGCAAGAGACTCGACCAACTAACACTTAACTCCCATCAACCTAACCCGTTATAGATATTTCAGACTCACTTAATCACCAGATATATTTACGACATCATTGTGCCTTGGTTATATATGGATGTAAAATATAAGAAACAAAATAAACAAAATCTGGTTATGGAGATATTCACAAACCACTTTCAAGCTCTGGATCAGGATTACCACACAGCCTAAACAACAATGGCGTCTGTTGGTTTATGGTTGGTTTATATAGAGATGGTTTAGTTAATGAGACCTGGTACAAATTTGGCTAGTTGAAGTACTTAAAACTTACATGATGATAAATAATCAAGTCAAGTTGTTAGTGTAATCAGTAAAATAATCTCCTGGTGTTCTTGTTTGACCTTTCTCTCTCTCTCTCTCTCGTTGCTCTCGTTTTAAATACGATTAAATAGATTCACGGACTGTTCTTGCAACAATGAGAGGGGAGGTGACTAGGGAGGGGGTAGACGAGACTAGGAAGAGGGGAGACTAGGAAGAGGGGGGAGACTGAGGGAGGAGACTAGGAAGAGGGGAGACTAGAGACTAGGAGGGTAGGGAGACTAGGAAGAGGGGGAGACTAGGAAGAGGGGGAGACTAGGGAGGAGGGAGACTAGGAAGAGGGGAGACTAGGAAGAGGGGAGACTAGGAAGAGGGGAGACTAGGGGAGGAGGGAGACTATGAAGGGAGGGAGACTAGGAAGAGGTGGGGAGACTAGGAAGAGGGGGAGACTAGGAGGGAGACTAGGAAGAGGAGGGAGACTAGGGAGGAGAGAGACTAGGAAGAGGGGAAGACTAGGAAGAGGGGAGACTAGGAGAGGGAGACTAGGAAGAGGAGGAGACTAGGAAGAGGGGGAGACTAGGAAGAGGGGGGCTAGGGAGGGAGGAGACTAGGAAGAGGAGACTAGGAAGAGGGGAGACTAGGGAGGGAGGGAGACTAGGAAGAGGAGGGAGACTAGGAAGAGGGGGAGACTAGGGAGGGAGGGAGACTAGGAAGAGGGGGGAGACTAGGAAGAGGGGGGAGACTAGGAAGAGGGGGAGACTAGGGAGGGAGGGAGACTAGGAAGAGGGGGGAGACTAGGAAGAGGGGGGAGACTAGGAAGAGGGGGAGACTAGGGAGGGAGGGAGACTATGAAGAGGGGGGAGACTAGGGAGGGAGGGAGAGTAAGGGTGAAGAGTAGGGAGATGGAAGGGGGGGGGGACCCAAACCTAATGTAACAAAATCTACCTTTATTCCAAATCTGTTCTAACATAACCTAACCTAAGTTAACCAAACCTACTCTAACATAATTTAACTTAACCTAACTTAACCTAACTTAGCCAAATTGTGTAAGTGGGATGACACACACAGAGAGAGAGAGAGAGAGTAGTAGTAGTAAAAGTTTGGAGATAAAAGTGACAGGTAATAAAAGTATGAAGGTACAGTGCCAGAGTGAGAGAGCCAGAGAGCCAGGTAATAAAAGTTCTAGTCTCAGGCAGTGGGGCAGGTGACGTGAACATGCATGGTGACGGTGTTGGGGGGGGGGGGACCTCTTCACAGCCTCATAAAGCCTCCCCCCTGAGATTCCATATTTGTTCAGTACACGTCTAGGCTCAGCTGGTGTCTCTCTCTCTCTCTCTCTCTCTCTCTCTCTCTCTCTCTCTCTCTCCATACTTACCTGTCCAGAGTGCCTTTCTAATCGCTGTTTTGGGCACGGGGTAAAATTTTATGTTCATGTCTTCATTTCCAGTTTTACTTGATCAGCGAATCGTTTTCTAATCACTGTTTTGGGAGATAAGAAATCAACTTTACGTCTACCATTTCCCCTCCCGCAACAGAAGTGATCAGCGAATCACCTCCTAATCGTTATATTGGGATTAAGATAAGATTTAGGATTATGTCATAGTTTCTTCGCTCTTACACGATCAGCTAATCCGTTTCTAATCGTTATTCTGAGCTTTAGAAATAATATTCACAATTTCGTTTTCATTTCGCTGATGCTTCTCACATTAATCGGATTTAAACCTTATTATTCCCGGGAGTCAGAGTAATTTTCTCTACATTTGTTATGCCAGAAAGCCAGAGTTAGTTATTATTGGGATAACTGCTTCGATATTTTCTTGGATAATTCACTTAAATGGTATATGGTTATGGTGATGTACCTGGTAGTGTGTGTGTATGGTGGAGGTTATGAGTTTGTTTCTCTCTCTCGCACCGTTATGGCCACAGTTGTTCACGGCCACACAGACACGAGATTGTCCATGAACAATAAAACTAAACCCTGTCCTCACTCATGTGTACAATTCAGAAAGATGAGGAGTAAGGCAGATAAGAACGTAGTAGTAGGTAGTAGGCAGCTACCAAACAGGGAGGTACTACCGCCTGGGAAGATATTGGAAGCATAATGTGTTGTCTTATGGTAGACCCTGCTGCCATATGGCATCACAAAAATTGTGACCAAGTCCCAGGTTGCTGATCTGACTTTCTGCCTCATTTACACACAATTTCAGGGTCTCAATTGTTTCTCTTACTTTGATAACACAACATACATACTGTATATTGTTTCTCACTCTTGATTTATTTTTTTCATTTTTGTATTTATTTATGGTAATTATTATTATTAATATATTATATTTTCTCCCCCCAGGCCCTGATGTGGGTCAGTGACCTGTGCCCGGGTGAGCTAATCCCCGTACAAAAAAAAAAAGATAACACAGGAGGATGAGGAAGAGTGAGTGTGGCGGGGACTTACCGATTGACGACCTGAGGGCTATGGACGCTGGCCCGGGGCTGGTGAACTCTGCAGCAATAGGTCCTCGTCTCTTGGTGGGTGTCCAGTTTCCGTTAGTTTGACCTCCCATCTGTAACACAACACGAATATATTACCTCACTGCTCCCACTTATTACCCTGCACATAAACGTTAGTCTTATTAATAACACAACATACAGCTTCACACACACACACACCAAGAAAATATTAAATTAAATAAAAAAAAATGTAGCCAGAGTAACACAATACGAACGGACACAAATCCCAAATGGTATAAGAAAACAGACTGGTGAAAAGTACTGCAAACCGGTGAGGGACTGAGGTTGGTGCTACAAGTCACTTGCCTCTGATGTGAAGTGGTCATTGTAAGAGGGTGGGGGCTATGTGTTGGTGTGGCCGGGAGGGTAGGCAGGTAGGGTGGCCACTTATTAAGGGGAGGGTTAGAGTGGCCACTTATTAGGGGTGGGACAGGATGGGATGGAACGGGGGGGCGAGGAAGAAGGATGGGATGGAGTGTGGCACTACTCTTTTGGTTCGACCATTGACGCTCCCGTGATCACTGGTGACAACCGAGTCTCCTGCTATCCCATGACGAACACCAGACCACCACCCTTAACCTGGCTACTGTCTTGACCACCACCCTCCGACCCAAACACAATCTCAATACTATTAAGAAAAACGAAACTCCACTTGCTAATACCGCTTCAAAAAAAAAAAAAAAACACACACACACAAAAACAAGGACAAACGCTAAAAGCTATAAAACACGCTATAGTGTGGTGGAATGCTACTGGTGAGCTTCTCCCCCTCCCACGCCTGACTATGATCCAGGTAACAAGATCCTCGCATGTTCCGGTGCCTAACACTAACACGCTTACCTCCCTGTTACCTGTCAATATACAGTGTAAGTAATTTTGACACGTAGGGTTTAAAAGAACAACAGAGAGGGGAGGGAGGGTTGGTTTTCACAGTAGTAGTAGAAGTAGTAGTAATAGTAATAGTAGTAGTAGAAGTAGTAGTAGTCGTAGTAGTAGAAAATAGTAATAGTAGGAGTGAAAAGCAATATTTTGAGAAACGAGATATTTTCTATAATTCTTTAAGAACGAAGTTATTTTCTTATTGTGTAAAGTGAGGCAAAGACGGCAAGGAGGTCAGACTTACAACTGTCTATTGATTGTGCATAATGGACCCAAGACGGCCCCGACATTGATCTGCCAGCCAGCCTTACGTTCCTCCTTCGTCAGGTTCACCTACTACAGTATTTTCAACTCCTACGGTTCTTTGTTCTTTTGTTTCGTCTTTTTTCATGTTAATTGTTTGCCCCGATTCGTTCCTTTCTTTGTTTACATTTTGCCCCGATTCGTTATTCATTTGTTTGTGGTTTAATTTTAATCGTTATTTTTACATTTACAATTTATTCCAATTCCTTCTTATGGTTTCATCTGATTCGTTGGGCTTTTGTTTCTGTCTGTTTATAGTTCGATTCCTTTTTCATTACTTTATAGTGTTTATGATTCGCCTTCAATTATATAGATGCAGAACGAGTTGCTGGCATGCTAACCTTGCTTAATATATCTGAGTGATATTAATCTAAAACCTGATTTACGAATGATTTAATTATGTAAAGTGAATCAGGTGAAAATACACTGTCAGTTGATGACTAATATGACGATAAAACTTACTAGTATAAATTTACGAGACTTGTGGGTGGGTGTGTGGGTAATTTTAGGTTTGTTTTGACCACCCACATCTTCTACCCACATTTACCCACTCACCCACACCTTCACTACCCACCCACCCACACCTTCAGTACCTACCTACCCACATCTTCTACCCACCCATGACTGTCCTTGACCTGAGATGAACGTAGTGTAGAAAGTAGGTGCACGGTGCGAGAGGAGGACCAGCTAACCCCTCTCTGCCACCCTTGACATTTGACACTAAAAGACCCAGCTTATTGACACTCACTCCAAGGATGTTATTCTTTGTCGTGACTCGTGTGTGTGTGTGTGTGTGTGAAATTTATCAATATTACCATTCCCATCATTTTTAATCTCTGTTACTATAGATGCAACCACCACTACCATCACCCCAGTAACTAAATCACACGCCAGCAACAACACTCACCCACCACAACACCTACCCACAGCAACACCTACCCACCACAACACACGCCCACCACAACACACACCCACCACACGCCCACCACATCTAATCACACTCCCATAACGGGTTATCACAACATATCCATTATAAAAACTTGTAGTGTCCTAAGTGGTGGTAACATATAGAAGTAAATAACCAGTAATTGACCAGGGACAAAAAACATTATCCTTAGGGGACACTTGGTGATGGTGGTGGTGATGGTGGTAGAGGTGGTGGTAGAGGTGGTGGTGGTAGAGGTGGTGGTGGTGGTAGATGTGGTGATAGTAGTGTGTGTGTGTGTGTGTGTGTGCGTGTGTGTGTGTGGCGTGGGTAGCGTGTGGACCGACAAGAAACAGCCATGCCAGAAGCTTCTATGACCCAAACCTAATGTGTTTCTTCTCTTGTTTCTTCATCTGGTGGTAGTGGTAGTAGTTGTGGTGATGGTGGTGGTGACAGTGGTAATGATAGTAGTGGTAGCGGCGATAGTGGTGGTGATAGCAATAGTAACAGTGGCGATTGTGGTAGTAGTGATGGTAATTGTGGTGGTAGTGATGGTAATTGTGGTAGTAGTGATGGTTGCGGTGGTAGTAGTGATGGTTGCGGTGATAGTAGTAGTGGTAGTAGAGGTTACAAGTATAATCTCATTAATGTTAATAGTACTTGTACCTCTGGCTGCCTGGGCGACGAGAGAGAGAGAGACCACAAAAAATAAAAAAATAAACTATATTTCACAACATGTCCACTACAGGTCTCCGCCACGGTCACCAATTTATTTTTATATAAATATTCCTAAAAACAAAAACAAAAAAACAATTCAGTGTGTCTTATTGTTTCATTGTCTACAGCTGTCTTAAATTTGATGAGAAATCGTCAATATTTTATGTGGGATAAAAGGTAATGCAAAATTGAAGACAGAGAGGCAGACAGATGCAATGATAAACTGACACGATGGTAGATAGAATAAATATTGATGTTCATAACAATAATAATAATAATAATAATAAGAGGAACAACAACAACAATCTCATATCAAAAATAAAACCATATCTACAAATTGCATCATTAATTACAACAATAACATATACGACGCCTTGATAAACCAGCAGTTAGTCGGACACGTAAATGCACCCAGTCACGAACGCTGCCGAAAACGCAAACAAAAACACGCAGGGATTATTACACACCCACGAGAAAATACGCGCACTACCCAAATGAATGAAATACCAGAGAACGGATTACCTCAACAGAATCTCGTGTATAGTGTTGTATAATTAATTAAATTCTCATACATACAATGAAATAATAACCCTCAGTCTTTTAGCTAATTAACCAGCAAGGTATATCTCTCCCTCGTTAAGACACCGGAGGAGGAGGAGGAGGGGAAGTAGGAGCTGTTACCTAAAAAAAAAAAAATTAAACGAACTCTTATAGCGGTATAGATGACAGCAATAAGTGGATAATAATTGATATCACGTGGGGGTAATTATCTAGGTGAGGAGCGACCAGGTAGTACAGGTAAGGAGGTGGGTGGTGGTCTCCTCCCCCCCCCCTCCTGGCCTTATCAGGGTGTGGGTCGTGCCTCCCAGCCAGGGTGTGAACTGTGAACGCTACACTACCATTAGTTTTTGTTCATCCCTTCAAGGTTTTCATTAAGGTTCACCACATGTAGGATAAAGTTAAGCTAGTTCTCTCTCTATTTATCTATCAATCTCTCTTTCTATCCACCTATCTCTATCTATCTATCTCTCTTTCTATCCACCTATCTCTATCTACCTATCTCTCTTTCTATCCACCTATCTCTACCTATCTCTCTTTCTATCCACCTATCTCTATCTATCTATCTCTCTTTCTATCCACCTATCTCTACCTATCTATCTCTCTTTCTATTCACCTATCTCTATCTACCTATCTCTCTATCCACCTATCTCTACCTATCCATCTCTTTTTGGTAATCACATACTAACCTTGGTGTCGTAAAATGAGATATCAAAATTGTGATTCCTGTCTGTCTGTCTGTCTATCTATCTGCCCGGAGCATCACTGGTAAAAACCCCAGCCGGAAGGTCCTCGGGGTACAGTTACTGCCCCATAACAACTTTTTACTTCAATTCCCTCACAAAGATCTCTCCAGGAACCTGATATCAATATTCTGCAGAATTTACTATAAAAACAAACACAGGATGCTATTTAACCTTTTTATCCAATATTAATTCTTTTTTTTTTTGCATATTTCATTACTACAAGACTGCCCGGTGAGTTGCAGGGACATACTAAGGTAAATGTTTTTGTGTTTTAGTTGTGCTGAAGGCATTACCGCGCGTCCAACAAGTGTATCAATCAACAAATATCTGAAACACTAAGTACACAATTTGGGGCCATTATTAAGTGTGTTTAGGTACCACATGATATTAAGTTGGTATTAAGTTTACATCTCACATTAATGGAAGAATCGTAATGTACTTAAGTAACTCTCTATGTAAGAAATCTAGATTAATGTTGTTTGTCCCTCGTGTATCTCAAGAGTGTAAAGGAGTCTTCATAACAATCCCCTCTGCTCAAAATTAAACAAAATCAATGAAAAACAAAACTTTCAACAGTTCCCAAGTTCAATTACATATCAAGTTCTGAATATACAAGTTTTATTTTTTTTTTAGCCAAGGCGGAACTCAGACCAATCATGTAGTCAAAAAAGAGTTACAGCCAATTACGAGGCCCAAACGGAGCTTCCAACACCCGTTTATTATATATATCTAATTGGGTGGTGTGTGAGGGCGGGCAAGTGTCACAGCGGGGCGGGGAACCAGATACCACAACAATTACACCTCGTTCTTCAAGCTTGTGGCGTCACGCAGTCAAGAACGATGACAAATTGCCTCAAGATGGATTAAAGGATTCTTGTTACCTGATGGGCGGGTGCTTTAAACTTCGTGGGGTTAAATCTCTTCC